CTTGCTACATCCACCTCCCTCTCTTGACATACAACGGTGCCTACCATCCCCGCCCACGCAAGAAGCCATCCCACGCGACGACGCAATCGCGGCCGTCTCGTCCCAACCCAGGCGCTTGGGCGTTGACGTCGCGCACCTGCTGTGTTTCATCTTTTTGATTTGCTTCTGGGGTGCGTAGATCAACAAGCTGACGCCTCTTGGCTCTTTCTCTGCCGCCAGTCACATTCCCTCCCGTCTGTCCATCAGCCAGAGCCATTGCTTGACAGCAGGCGGTTCGGGCCATGAGCCAGCCGGGAGCATCCCGGTTGCGACACGTTGACTTCCTAGCCTTGCTTGACCGCGATCTTGTGCTAGATACCTGGAGACCAATGTTCGTCGTTGCCATTCTTGCGCGCAAGGGTCGGGTGGGTCAGGTACGATCCAAATACATTGGTGCCCAACCGGACATACGACATCTGGGTCAATTGGGAGGGACAAAATGGCCGCTCGTGGCCGCCTATTGCGACCCTCCTCCCTCCCCTTTCCCGCTTGATCGCTGGTCAGTCATTCTGCCCTGAGGGACGCGTGACTGGAGCGCGGCCTGAACTAAACCCATAGACCGAGCCAGCCAGCTCGGTAGGTGCTCTCGCCGATTGAAAGTAACAAAAGCCCCAAACCACCATCGCCATGTCCGGATCGTTGGTCATCAAAGAGATTGGTCTTGCGTCATGATTCATGCGTCGTCTTGTTGCCTGTCTAGTGGAGGGAGGGTTGCTCTGGCGGGCTGTTTGCACGTGTCGCTGCCGAGCATCAAAGCTTCCCAGCAACCGTCGAGATGCTCGGGCTCCCCTCTGGCTTGTCTGTCTTGCACGAACCTTGTTAACTCCTGGAGCAAGGTCCATCGCTGTATGAAGAGAAATCTCCCACGACAAAGCAGACTTGATAATTGACATTCGACAAGGCTGATCCTGGCGGGGCATCCGAAGTCTTTGTCAACCCCTGACCCCTGGCCACGCCGCCTCTTTCTTTTCTTCTTGTCCAGCTTCCAAGGTCAGCATTTCCCGAAAACAGACCCCCAGTGAGGATCCCTAGCCTGAATCGGGCACCGCAAGCGATGGGTTCCTAGCTCAATCTCAACCTCCGCGCACCCGGGTCGGTACAGCGGCAAACGAGTTTTCGAGGGGCCCTATCAGCAATAAATGTTGAGATGCATTGCGATGCCTCGCGATCGCATCGCTGACAGGAAACATGGAATGATTCAGTCATCGGCCCATGGTACCGATCCTCAGTGCTTTCTTTCTGTTCAGCTTTTTGTCATAACAGCCGCCTCGTTTGCCGTTGCATCCCGAGGCCTTCGTTTCAATGCCGGACTCCACTCCGAACATCTGGAAGCCTTTCCGCCCTCTGGCCCGTGGGCGCGCCCGGAGATTGGAACTTGAAGCAGAAGCAAGCACTACATCACTCGCTCCCCCCGCAACTCTATGAACGAGCTTTTGAGGTTCATTTTTTACGAAGGTTTGCATTATAATGGCGGGTTTTCGCTCTAGTCAGAATTTTCGACGCCATGCCCTCGTACCGTCAAGATGCTCCGGCTCCCCGGCCGCAATGCGCCTCTGTCCCTCCAGGCTGGGTTTCTATCTCGGGATGTTGTCTCGGCTCACGGTCAGCACTGCTACATCGATAAAGTCTTTTTCTGGCTCAGCGTCTTCCACCGCCAGACTCCAGATGACCGGGAACGAGAGCTGAAGTGGACTTCCGTCATGGGTTGGCGAGTTCCCCGTCCATACAGCAGGGGGCAATTATTGGCGGTGAAGCCAGGGGTCCGGGGTTCGGGTCCCTGACTGGGCTTGCTCGTCGCGCTCGATCCATCGATATTGACGCGACCGACAAACAGGCGTCAAAGATCTTCTTCAGATCCTGTTTATTTCCACAAAAGTGAGGTCCTCAAGACCCTTCGTCCCATGGTTCAGCCCACTATTCGACGAACCTGCGCACGCGTTGATGACTTGTTTCGCTCGTAAACCATGACCAGATGGCGGTCGAGCTGGCTCCCCTGAGGTCCAACTATCGCTTCTCATCCCCGACATCCATACGCGCGATTATGCGACAACGAGCATCGAAGCTGCCGAAACGCACTTTTCACACGCCCAAGAAAGAAGATTTTCGTCTCTAAGCTCGGCGGGCCCTCACATTCGGGTACGCAGAGTTTGGATCGCTCTGGCGAGCCCGGAACAAAAGACCGAGCTCTTGCCCTTGCGTTGTAGCGGCCCGGAAAGCGACATGATGCTAATGCGCATGCGATGCCAAGGTAGTGAAACATGAGACTTCCATGATCTCACACATCGGTACCTGTTTGTTCGAGTGTTCTTGCCAATTGTCTCCTCTACCGCGTTACACACTCCTTTGTCACCGGCCACAGGGCCTGGATTCATCACCTGTCCTCTCCACCACGGTCACATTTGCCAACCTTCCAGGATGGGAGAAAGCAACACCCCCAAAGTTCTGATCCGCACCCCATTCCACTTTCTCCCATTTTCCCTTTGACTCATCTATCCCGGCCCAGCAGGTTGGGTAGATTTGCTTCTTGGGTCCCACTTTTTGGCGCCTTTCTGCTGCTTGCCAGACGCCCGACCCAAGTTGGCGGTGAAGAAGACCCCCTGGCCCGCGGGAGACGGGATCCCCCCCGCGTCCTTTGAGAAGCCTTTCCTGATTTGATCCCTCTTGGCTTTACCTGCCTGGGAAGTTATCGTCAGTGTCCAGGAGTGTGTCTAAAGCACAGGGACTAACGCTGTAGCAGAGGGTCAGATGGCGTTTGCAGGCCGTGAGTTTCCCGAACCTGCCATCCTCCTCAGCCACTCGTCACGCCTCTGTGCGAAGCATCTGAAACCCCTGCTGTGGTACAGCCGCTGGACACACGTCGGGAACTAGCTCTATCTTAACCCACCCTATTTGGGCTTGGGGCCTCGTTTTCAGAGACACGTTGGAAGAGCGGAGGGTTGTTTCGGAGGCGTGGGCATGTAGTAAAAAGCAACAGGACAGAACGGCGGCATCCACTTCTCGTACGACTGCGTGCGTCATGACAGGGACTCGGGGGCAGAAGGGTTCTGACTTGACTCGGGATCATGCTCGTTTGATGGCTCTCCTGAAGCTTTGGGCGAAGATCACGTAGGGTCTAGACCGTCAACTGGGTTTCGGGATCGACAGATCCTCCTCTGCGTGATGGATGAATGGCCTTGAGACTGGGGTCGTGATGGTGCCTGGACCTGGTCTTGTTCCAGTTCCTTGGTTCTTGAAATCTTCGTCAGTCTCTTCGCGATCATTTCGCAAGGGAGTGGGGAGTTTGTTTCTTCGTCGTAGCCAGGCAAACACTTGAGGTTTGTGTCAGCGCTGTAGGATTTCCAAGAAGTCCAGGCACCGCACTCGTGAGGCTGTTCAGCACTGGAGCTGTAGCAAGTTACCTGCCGTCTCGTGGTGCCCAACAGGCGCCCCCGCGTGCCTCGAGTCTCGTGGAAGAGGGCGGGGGGCCAATCTTTGGTGTCGACCGTTACCTCATGCCTCGTGTCATGGCCGCGAGGAACCTGGCCGATCGATCCCTCACTCTCTAGGTCTCTTCAGTCCGCACAGTTTCGGCGCTGTGATCGTCGTGTATGATGCGTCTGCTATGTTCGCCGCATGGCAGATCTGTTGACGCGTCCGCCGCGCCGCACATCTTCGCCACTGCCCCATGCCCCGCGTGAGCGCAAGGCGGTCTCCTGACGAGTGCTTGCTCGGGCCTGTTTCGTCGTCGCATTTTGCCTCTTCCGCGCCGTGTCTCATGCGCTACGGCGGCTGACGCAATGTGCCGGCGTCATGTGATTTCCTGTTCCGGCCATGGCACGAGATGCGGATGAGGGTGGGATGTGCGAGCTCGCTCGGCGAGACTAGACAGAGGGGGCCTGGCGGTAGGGTGGCACGTCGTGAGCGGGTGTTCGAGGGGCAGAGGGAGGAAGAGGGACAGGGAATCGTCGGGTCGTGCTCGGCGAAATACAGGGCTTGTTTGGTTTGATATCGGTGGACAATATCTGTGTAGCGCCGCGAGTTCTGTGTCAAACTACGCGAACGTGCGCTGGTGGAGGGCCCGGTGCCTGGTGCGATGCCGTGCCCGTCCTGTCAGGGCTGCAGGTGCTGTTGTTGTTGGAGGGCAGTGTTCGGTCGTACTATGAGCATGACGCCCGTGACAGAAGAATATGGACGGGAAGAGTGAATTATGGATGCGCACTTGTTCGCACTTGTTTACTGAACATGCAGTGCTCGTTTCCTGTCGACGGCATGTCTGGGATGTGGCTCTGTCGTTCGCCCAATCACGCACTTGGCATATATGTGGTTGTCTGGGCATCAAGACTGGTCGGTCCGCATGGGGCATGGACGGCTGGACGAATCAGAGCGGGATCAACTTAAGATAAACTTGTTGAAGATGGTGCTCGCTTGGTGTGAGACATGTATACGAGATGCGGTGAATGATATTACGGACCCGTGGTCATCAGATCCAGAAGTCGAGGTAGAATCATGTCAAAAGATGGGATCGCGAGAGGCCGCACGCTCAAGGATGACGATCCAGTTTTGGTGAATCTGTTTTCGGCATTCAGTGTTGGTCTGAGCTACTGACTATTCCGATGCGATAGGAGCCTACGACGGAAGTTTGGAAGGGGACTAGATCAAGAGTGATATTTATGCAACAACAGGCAGACAGCACATTCAACTCAAGCATGAAGGAATCCAAGCTTTACCTCACAACAACCCGCTCGTGGGTCGGAATAAGGCTCCAAAGAGGCACACAGCCTACATGTTCGTGTGCTCAGCAGGTGGCACTTCGTACCGCAGCGTGATATCAACAGTGTTGGCGAGGTGCTCCCCCCTCACGCAGACTGTGAGACCACGTCCTCTAGAGTGAATGCTAGATCCTCGAAAACAAGTCGCAGATTCAAATATGTATCGGACCAAGTTAGACAAGCAACACCAAAGTCCAAGACACAGTCTGAGACAGAGCTATCAACGGGCACATGATGCACGAGAACCAACTCCCACGTCATCTTGATGAAACACCACCGTTTCCCCTGCCGCCGGTGTATCTTGTTCAAGAAACAGCCATATGGTCTCCCTCTCCCAATGTGCGCCTAGAGCCCCAGCCACCAACACAGTCGCAAAACGCCGCCTAGACGACGCCAGCGAGCTGCAGCAGCCTCTCGCCGGCCTTGAGGTTTGCGTACTCGTAGGCCTTGCTCTCGGGGGGGAACGTGCCGTTGGCGGCCCACATGTCGATGAGGGGTTGCATGGGCTCGAGCTCGTGGGATTTGAGCAGATCGAGGGCCGTGGCCGTGAGGACAAAGTGACTGAAGCAACTGTTGAGCTGCTTCTCGAGGTTGATGTGGTAGAAGGGGTCGGTGAAGTGGGCCCAGTAGAGATGGGCGTAGACGCGGAACATCTGGCGGAAGATGGTCTGGCAGACGTCGATGAAGTTCTTGGGGAAGCCCGAGCGCTTGCCGATCCAGTCGGGCTCGCCACCGGGGCTGGAGAGCTGGGACAGCGGCGTCGTCGTGATGGAGGGGTTGTGCGCAAAGGAGACGCCCGAAGGATCCGTGGGGAAGATGGCGAGGTCGTCAATCTTGCCGGAGATCCAGCGCTGCATCAGTGTCATGTACTCGTGGGCCGGCAGCTCGACCGGCTCGCGGCGGCTGTTGAGCCAGGTGAAGGAGTGGTTGCTGTACGCTGTTAGGAAAAGACAAGAAGCGTTGCGGCTCGGCCAACGTACGCTCCGGCTGACATGCGAGGGCACGACGTCGCGTCGCAGACAGCTGTTCCGTCATCCTCCTTCTCATGGACGACTCGGACAAAGTTCCAGAGGTTACGGTAGTGCTCAACGACTAGATCGAGTCAGTACAGGAGTCTCGTTTCCGAGGATTGCATGGACAGCCATACCTTGGTGCGCGATCCACTCGCCCTGCTCTACAGTCTTGGGCCGGGCACTCAACGTCATGAAGTTACCCTTGACAATGTGCTTTGCGTAGGTTGAGTTCAGCCATAGGGGCAGAGGGCGGGGTAGTTGATATGAGTCGAGGATTTCTTGCCCGGTTGCTGTGGCCTTGGCGGCGTCGTCTAGGCCAACACTCTGGGAGAATGATGGTGATGGAGGCAGGGGCGGCACCTTCGGGGCCAAGCTGGATGAGGACTGGCTGCCCTGCGACAGAGTCGTTGGCGACTGAGGGATCCCGGCATTCGAGGATGTCGGGCTCCTGCTCTGGGGTCCCGACTTCTGCGATGCGCCGCCGCTGCGAAAGCGCGCATTACTGTTTGAGGCCGGATTAGTGTCTGGTATTTGGGGACAGACAGAAAGTGTATGTCAAAGCGCCAAAAATATGTGGAATGAAGGATGAGAGGAAGCACGAGCTCAAGTGTGTGAAGGCGCGCCTACGGCTTGATGGACGTTGTGAAGAAGCCAGGGGAATTGGTGTCACGATGCAGGGGCGAGGAGGAAGCGACGTTGAAGAAGCTGAGGATGGGAGTATATAGCACGAGGATGTCTCGTCAGTCTCCTTGTAATCCAACGTCTGCAAAGTTGAGATTGCTCAGTATAGAGACTGGAGTAACACTCAACAGATGCTACAGTTGTGAGCACCTGATCCTGAGGTCGTGATCTGGACGGGGACTTCCACCGTGGACTAGGCATGCGAATACGAAAGCGATGCCGAGGGAAGGGAGAGTGACAATATGCATCTTCTTCCAAAGCCGATGACTAGCAACAAGAGAAGGCATATCGGTTGCGGCTCGTAGATATCTCGTAATGGGCCACACCTTTGGGGCCATGAGACAGGGTTGCGAGACCGACTGATTAATCTGGTCAGTTGGGACCTTGATTGTCGGCGTCGACACCTGGCAGATCATTCTTCCAAGGTCGAAGACTGTTGAGTGTCGAAGAAACTAATGAAGCAACGTCTAGATCTTCGTTCAAGCCCATCCACCATCGCAGGCCCCATTGTGTGCCCCGCAGTGGTGTAGTCCAGGCAAGGATGGCGGGCACGAGGTGGTGTGGCCATGATCTCGGTCAATGGACGTTGTAGACATTTGCTGATTGCAACCAATATTGACGGATTGTCCTGTCGTACAGAGCCATCGATTCATGGCGCCATGTTGCGCTGGTCGTTGATCTGGCAAAGGGCGGCATGGCCCACCGGTGAGGGGTAATTTGATGCCCACACGCTTCTGTGGACGAGGCCAGTTGACCAAAGTAAAGCTCAAACGCAGAGCGGGAGCCTGTGCTTTGCTCGCGTGATAGAACTCAGCTGGGTGAAGAATATGGGTGAAATATTGGCTAGGATGCCCGCCATGCAGATGACGAGTCATCGGCGTAGACTGTGCCATAGGCCTGTCCAAGCTCATGGTGAGACGGCCTCATGGTGAGACGGCGTGGATGAAAAGGTGAGTATGAGCAGAAAATCTGGATCATAACGAGGAGGTAACACGGACGAGTTTGGACACACACTCGCGGCCGACCGTGTAGTTGGGCATATCACTAGAGAGGCTGGGCCAAGCCAATCTTGTGCGACATGGTATAGCTTCAATACGACTCTGCATCGAGCCAGCGCACTAACAGCTGGGCGCGGCACGTCGTCGCTTGAGGCCCAACAACGCCACCTGGCAACCTAGGTTTGAGAGAAGAGAGCTCACAACTCATGCTCGACAAACCGAGGGAGCCAGAACCATCGAGATGCGAAACGAGGAAACAAGAAAAAGATGTCCGGTACTCACATTCCGGAAAAGAGGTTCGACATGGTGATAAGGCCAGCAGTGGGAAGCTAGCAGAGCAGCTACCAAGGGGCAAAGTAGGTATCCAAGTGAGGACCCGAGGTACAGCAGCTAAGGGTCGAATAATATGCCGCACGTGGCGCCGAGGGACAGAGAGGGTTGGGACGGAGTTGGAATAGAACGTTAGGATGAGCCTAGGGCCCTGCGTATCGTCAAGGAGATGTCGATGCCAGCGCACGTGTTGTCGTTGAGGGAGCAAGTATATGTGGAAAAGGGGTGACAGAAACCTGAGGTGAGGTTGAACTTGGCTTGGGTCACTGAAGGCAAGAGAGGGAGCGGCGACATGCGCTAAACCGTATCGGTACAGCGAAGCGAGGGGTCGTGAGCTGTGAAGTGAAGCCACATGGATGTGGCTCAAAGAACTTCCAAGGCACTTCCAAGGCACTTGGTGCCAGCATGTTCGTTGTCCATGGGCCTGTGAGCATGATGCCCCAATCCCATCCAAGGAAGAACACAGAAGCAGAAGCAAGTTCATCAAAGAGATGAGAGACGACCATCTCGACCGACTTCATCGTACCAGACTTCATCGCCTGCGTCTCCCATGTGGCTCGTGCAGCCTCACCTGGACCGTGCTCACGACCTTCTGGAGCTCGAAGTCAATGCCGTCCATCCACTGACACCAATCAAGACGGGTGCCCAGTAGCCTCGTGCTTTCTTCCCTTGCACCTTTAGCTCTGACCCGACTTGGCTTGCTGGCGACCTCTTGCGAACGCGACTGCCATCATCATCAAATTCTTTCCTTCCGCCGACGACAAGAACAAAACGAAGAGCTTTTCACACGCCAATTTTTTTTTTTACATCATGTCCGACTCGGAAGATCTTGCCGAGATCCCTGAGATCCCTGAGGACGGCGCCGACGACCTTTTCGGCGATTCTGACATTGGCGACAACGACATTCTCCCAGCGAGCGACCGCGAGCTCAACTCGGACGATGACGAGACGCCCGCGAGACGCGCCGACGCAGAGGACCAAGACGATGACCACTTCCACTCCACGCAGAACAACGTTGTCGAGGACGCGCAGGTGTCCCGCCATCGTATTCCCCAGCCCAAGAACGGACAGGTTCGTGCCTCCTGGCTGTGCACTCCTTCTTCTTTTCCGTGAGGGTGGTCGCTGACGAAAGGGAAAAAAAAACAGCTCTCCTCTTTCCGCGTCCCCAAATTCATCTCGGTGCACCCCGACCTGTACAGCCGCGAGACATTCGTGCCGACGGAGCGCGACGTGCAAAACGCCAAAGCCGACAACCCCAAGGCCGAGGTGCGCGTGCGGCGGGACGGGGCGACGGGCCAGCTGCAGAGCAACACGCTGATCCACCGGTGGAACGACGGGTCGCTGACCGTGTCGGTGGGCGACGAGCACTTTGAGATCCACACCAAGTCGCTGGCGCCGGCGGCGGGGGCGGCGTACCGCGAGGTGCAGGACGCGCACTACTACGCGGCGGCGCCGAACCTCAGCAGCAACCACTACATGATGGTCGGGCACGTGGCGGCGCAGTACACGGTGCGGCCGGGCCAGGCGATGGAGGACGACGCGCTGGCCAAGCTAGCGGAGCGCATGGCGGCGGCGTCGCGCGGCGTGCACGAGGGCGACATGATCATCAAGACGACCAAGGACCCCATGCTGCAGATCAAGCAGGCCGAGCTCGCCGAGAAGGAGCGCATGAAGGCCCAGCGCCGCCGCGAGACGGCCGCCGCCAAGATGGACGGGCCCCAGCGGTACGGCCGCGGCGCCGGCGGCGGCCTGTCGATTGGCGATCTCGAGGGCGGCCGCAGGGGCGGCGCCGGGCGCAAGCGGGCCGGCGGCGGTGCGCGGGAGAAGAGGCGGAAGCCAGAGTACGACTCGGACGACGATCTCCCGTCGGGCGCGCGGCGCGTGGGCGACGACTACGATCTCGAGGACGACTTTATCGCCGGCAGCGACGAGGACATCAGCGAGGGCGCCGAGGAGGACGAGGAAGAGATCCTCGACGACGATGACGACGAGGAGGAGGAGGCGCCGCGACGCAAGCGCCAGCGTACTGCCGACGCAGATGACGGCGGTCACGAGGCTTCAGGCCGAGCACGACGTCGCCAGGTGATTGACGATGAGGACGATGAGGATGAGGACTGAGCATAGCGGCGTGTCATCAGGGCAGCGGGGCAGCAGCACGCAATGTACAGTGTATAGCACAGGAAAGGAAAAACCAATAGGTCCAAGGAAGCGATCGGGGTGATCTCATGGTTTCGACAGCAGGTAGCTTGACATTTCCTCGTCGTCAAGCCTGACGAGAATCTGCATTGGAAGCTCGGCACGATAGTCCAGGCCGATGAGCGCATCAATTTGACGGGCGTTTTCACTTCCTGCGAGCCTATCCGCTCGCTCGTCCAGCAGACAGTCAGTACCCATAGGCAGAGACGCAAACCGCAAGAGCTCAAGGTTTCTGGTCACTATAGAAACAAATGGGAGCAGACCATGATCACATGTCGGCCAGTGAAAGCTCAGTAGCTGATGCGGGGCGGTGGGGGGGCATGTGCTGTAGCTGTGCTGACCTAGCAAGCCTAGGTACCTAGTACAGTACCTTGGGCACCTACCATACCCCTACGTGGTAGGTACAGTGGGGAGACAAAAAAATGACGGATTGCCGTTATGAAAAATACTTGGTTAACTTTGAAAATACTAAAATAAAATAAATATCAGTAATCTAAATAATAGGAGCTGTAGATTTACTAAGGTTTCATTAGTACTACTAGAACTATTATCCATAGTAATCTATAGGATACGTAATAGAGGTTAGAAAACTATGTGTTTTGGTGTGAAATCGGAAATCCGTCGTTTTTTTTGTCGCATGACTGTACCTTAGGTACGAACCAGCATCAATCGTCAACAGCCTTGGAATGATGCGGCACCCACGACAAGCCACCTCTCGCATCCTCGGCTCCCCAAGGGCCGCGATCCTCCTTCCTCGTCTGTTCACCTCTGCACAAACTGCCATTATCCATACCCGCACCCGAGAGTCTTATCAGATGGTCGACGGCACACCTGCTATGCCATCATGGGGGTAGTCCTTACGTTGGTGTTTGACGTGGTGCGCTTCTGGCACAGAGTACGGCTCCCTTGTCTTCGCCTGCCCCTCCTTGATCCCCATGCCATTAATCTGGCCCTTGGCTCGCCGGCCCTGTTGAATAACGACTCCAACTGACACTCCCCTACCTGCAGAAACTCAAAGAATGGTACGCGCGAAAGAGCCCCGTCGAGCTCTGGCTCGACCTGCTCCGCAACGCCGAGGCCTTTGAGGACTGGGAAGAGGCCGCCCTCCACCTCGACAACCTCCTGGGGCTCGACCTCTGGCGCAACAACCCGACGTCCAAGTACTACGACTACCGCCTCATCCACGAGCGCCTCAACTCCTTCCTCGAGGCCAACGAGGACGCCGACGTCAACCACCTCGTCAACCTGCTGCGCTCCGGCCTCGTCCGCAACCTCGGCAACATCAGCTCGCCAAAGCTCTACAACCGCGCCTTCGCCGGCACAAAGTACCTCATCGAAGAGTACATCACCCACGTCGCCGAGGCCGTCGATGATGTGACGGCCCTGCCGACGACGCCGCCCGCCGTCGAGTCGCCGTCGCGCAGCGGCACCGCCAACAATGCCAACAGCACCAGCAGCAGCAGCAACGACAAGGGACGCCCCCCGATGGCGACCATCGTCAGCGCCGCCGCCGCAACGCTGACGAACCAGACCAAGCTCGACTTCATCCACGACACGCGCCAGGCCTTTGGCCGCAGCACCCTCGTCTTCCAGGGCGGGGCCATCTTCGGCCTCTGCCACCTCGGCGTCGCCAAGGCCCTGTTCCTGCGCGGGCTCCTGCCCCGCATCATCACCGGCACCGCCACCGGCGCCCTCATCGCCGCGCTCGTCGCCATCCATACCGAGGAGGAGCTGCCGGCCGTGCTCAGGAGCGATGGCATCGATCTGTCGGCCTTTTCCCCCAAGGGCCGCCGCCGACGACGGGTCCGTCGCGAAGCAGTCGTTCGCGTCGCGGTGGCAGACGCTGCTGCGGAGGGGCAGGCGGTTCTGGAAGGAGGGCTACTTCCTCGACGTCAAGGTCCTCGAGGACTGTGTGCGGGCCAATGTCGGCGACCTGACCTTTGAGGAGGCCTATAACCGAAGCAAGCGCGTCTTGAACATCACCGTGGCCACGGCAGGGCAGGGCGGCGTGCCGACGCTGCTCAACTTCCTTACGGCCCCGAATGTGGTATGTTATTTGTCGTGATGTCCAGACCGGGTTTTTTTTTTTTGCCTTTTTTTCCATATTGTAAAGAAACGAGTCCATACTGACACAGACAGCTCATCTGGACGGCCCCCGTGGCCTCCAATGCCTCATCAGGA